CTGTTGCAGAGCAGCTCTAATCACAGTGTGAACATCTGCATTGTGAAACTCACACTTGCGTTCTCTAGAAGTACCATATACTCTTAAAACTACAGTAAGAACAATGAAACAGTGACCAGCTTCCATCAATATCTTATCCAAGCCTTACCATACAATCTGCTGTACAGCAGTTTTTGGGCTCAGTAAAACACAAGCAGAGATGTTTAATTTCACCTCCAAGCAACACTGTCCCAATCCGTAGGCTGTATCTACCTATTTTTAATGAGAACCACAATAGAGACTGGGCAAGCCCAAAGCATCTATCTCTTTGCGCTTTGGAACAGACAGAAAAATCACATCAGAGCTGCTAATGTAAAGTTTGTATTTGACTCTACATTTCCTATGCTGCTCAATAATTGCTCTGGGGTAAAACCCACAGCCACTACCACCACCACAAAACATCCACAGCAGAAAAGTGAAACCAAAACTTTTCATTTTCTGGCAGTGAGGAATCACTGTTGCTTAGACATTATTAAGACAACCATCTTAATGCCTTGAATTCAAGCTACTGCCTGGCAATTCACCAGCAGCTAAGAAGAGATTAGAGATACACCACTCCTATATTATTTCCCAGCAGGCATCAAGTGTGTCAGCTCCTCTTTGCTCTCCTCAGTAGACTGCAGTTAGCAGGAGTTTTGCTTTCAGCACAAACTGTCTACAGAATGGCATCTTTTGCGGAACAACTTCCACTTTCTTGTATTTTCCTTCTAAACATTTGAGAAATTTCCCACCTGGGGATAGATAGTGTTAGGCCAACAACCAGAAGCAACGGTTGCCAGTGAGAAATGGAAAAGATACCTATTCTTTGATTGGTATTTCTGTCTCTGCCTTCTAGCTGGATTGCAAGAGATCCATCAGGGCCTGAAACACTTTTCATTCTCTTAAATGGAGAGATTTATCTCTCCAGGGATTATTTTATCCATTTTATCTCCAGGGTTTCTGTCCTGGCACTCCGTTCCTTATGGGACTGCTTGTATTGTGCTTCCACTGAAGGGTAAAGGGAACGGTAGCTATTTTTCTAACTGCTTCTATCTGAAGTGTCTACCTAAGTGGGTAGGGGACAGGAGGGCCTATCTGGATGCTTCCCATGAAGAATGCCAACAGCCATGTGCTGCTGGAAGAAATGGTTGATGTGGACCTGTTGGCTCTGTCTCAGCTGCAGGTGTGGGGTACTAGCAGCCAGCCAGGGCAGCAGCTTGGTCCCATGCAGGCAGACACAGGGTAAGCAAAGCCACTGCTTCCACTTGCTGTGTTGCTTTGCTTTTGAAAATACCATGTCAAGCCCTGAGCAGCACTGCAGGCTACAGGTGATACTTTCCCATTCAGCAGGCGTTCTCTGCTTCAGAAGAAGAGCAGTTCCTCTGGAGGACTTAACCCCATTTCTTGGTGAGGACATCCCATCCTCTGCTCATCACAAAGCACCCAAGTCTCCTCCACCTACTGTGTTTAAGCACTGTGCCACGAACGGAGGAAAACAAAACTGACAGTCCAACACCGCATCTTATTAGAAGTCTCTATGTCTGGATGATTCAGCTGCATCTCTGAGAAAGCAAAAACCCAGTGAAGCTGAAGAACACTGTGTGGTGACTCATGCTGCAAAGGGCTCTCGGTAGCTGAGATTTGATTCAGACCACCAGCATGTGACTTTTACTATTGCCCATTCATAGAGAATGGAGCACCGTGAACTTGCTTCATGGGGACTGGCAGACAAACCAACCTCTTTGCAGAAAGAAAGGTACCAAAAGCTTGTTTGGGAATAGTTAGGTGAGGCACACAAAATACTCCCAGTTAATAGGAAGCAATCATAAGCATTCTGGACAAAATATGTCCTGATATGTTCCCCACACAAACCTATGAACAGTATCTGTGTGATCTGATGTAATGGAAAGAATGATAATAATGCAAAACATTGTACTTGGAATTGATGTTCCTGTTCCTGATACATCAGAACAGTTATCCGCTGACAGGCATACAAAACCAAATGTCCAGCCTTCCTTTATCAAAGAAAGGCTGCTTGGGCAACTGGGTAACATCCTCACCTCACCATTAAGCAAGGACCTCTTTGACGTTGTTAAGGTTTGCAAGCAATTGCAGGAGCAGTAAGGCAAGATGCTGCTGAGGCTTGGTAATGCCAGAGCTACAGCCCTACTTTGCTTTTTACCTACAAGGCGTAGCAGCAGTACACGTGTGTTAACTGCTAAAAAGAAACTGATGTTGGCCTGGGACCCTCAGCACAAGAAAGACACAGAGCTTTTGGAACAGGTCCAAAGGAGGGCCAGTGGATCAGAGGGCTGGAGCACCTCTCCTATGAAGAAAGGTTGAGGGAACCGGGCTTGTTTAGCTTGGAGAAGAGAAGGCTCCAGGGAGACCTCTTTGTGGACTGCCAGTACTTGAAGGGAGCATATAAACAGGAGGGGGAACAGCTCTTTACGAGGGTGCATAGTGATAGGACAAGGGGGAATGGTTTTAAACTGAGACAGGGGAGATTTAAGTTAGATATGAGGAGGAAGTTTTTCCACACAAAGGGTGGTGAGGCACTGGAACAGGTTGCCCAAGGAGGCTGTGGATGCCCCATCCCTGGAGGTGTTCAAGGCCAGGCTGGATGTGGCTCTGGGCAGCCTGGTCTGCTGGTTGGTGACCCTGCACACAGCAGGGGGGTTAAAACTAAATGACCATTGTGGTCCTTTTCAACACAGGCCATTTGATGATTCTATGATTATGATATGATGTAAAATTTAATTGTAACTGACACAAGATCAATTGTAGGCTGGAGTAGAAGGTAATGAGTGTCAAACTGCAGAGTCCCATGACTGCCACAGAGCCTGGCATCCTCAGATTTGGCTGCTATTATTACTGTAATTAATTATGTTTTTTTTTTTTTTTTTTTTTTTTTTACAATTCAAGCAGGCAACAAATTTAAAGGAATAACTGTTGAGCCAGTAACGTGAACACTGCCCAAATAAAATAGTGATCATGTAAAGCTGTGCACTTAAGAAAATAAACATACACAAGCCTTATGTCTTAGCACCAATCTGTCTGATAGGAGTGCTGAAGAACAAGTGGTTAGATCCCTTTAACAGCAGCACAAGTGAGGGGTAATTTAGTCACAGTGCTATAACACACCTAAGGAGCCTATACAGAGTACTGCTTCAAATCTCCCAAGGAATAAGCTCTGAAGTATCTCCAGAACTCCAGACAGCTGTGGCCAACTCGGTCACAACAGATGCCTGTGAACTCTCTCCTTTATTTTTATTATTATTTTTTTTTTTTAACTGAAGGAGGTATAAATAACTTTTCTTTAGTGTTAAGTAGCCAGTGACTGCTAGCAGACCTTGAGTTTTCCATTCAAATTCCTACATTTCAAGAATGAGGACAAATTCAGGATGTGGCACGACAGTTCACATGCATTTACCATCACACTTGTAAAACACCAAAATGAACCCTGTGACCTACAAAACGTGTAGGATGAACAAGCAAAAGAAGTATGATTTAGATGTAGAAAAATACTGAAACAAGTATGTAAGTACTCTTTTTTTTTTTAGGGGAGGTGGGGTAGTTATCAAAGGGATCCCATTTACGATCTTTCTGCTCCTCTCTTTTCTCTTTTGAACTTCGACTCTTTCTTGTGAGGAACTATTTTACTTTTTGTTTTGTTTTTGCTCCCATTAAACAGTATAAGCCAATTCTGTTTCAGAGAAAGGAGTCTTATTGTTTACATACAAATTCAAAGTCTGACAAAAGCCGATCTCTGTCAGACTCACATTTTGGTTGAAATGTTTTTCCATGTAGTGCTCTCTAGGCTGCATTTGTACACAGTATTTAAACATCTTTTTCCTGTTCTCATCTCTAGCTTAGGGGTTATTTTTCCAATTCTGAAGCTTCTTTCCCAAGGGGCTATCTCTAGGCACCATTCTGGGGACCCTTTTCCCCTGTTTTTGGGAGCTCCTATTACCTATCCCTCCAGAAAGCTACTGTCAACTACCCAGCTCACAGATTATCACATCCCAATTTTCGGATTTTGGGCCCAATCCCTTTGGAATACTATGCTCCTATCTCTCAGATTAATAGGGGTGTACTGCTGGCACTTCATCAAGTGCTGTATAATCAGTTGAATGTATAAATGCTATAGTTATGAAATATACCAGAGAGTTTGGCTAAGCAATTATTATATCAAAAGAGAATAGATAGAAAACTTACCCATATCCTGGGCTCGCTGTGACACTCTCCAGAAGAGATCCTTCCCCTCTGGTAGCCAGCTCTTAAATGGGTCTAGGAGAGGTGCAGCCAGGCTCCACCCTTTCCTGCAGCACAGCTGAATTGCCTTGTGCTCCCCTGGCTGACTCAGTGCTCGCCTCAGGTGATCAATCAGAGGTTCAGGCCATGACTCAGCAGTTCCCATACACGCGCACAGGGCACCGCACACCAACAGCTCCCTCCCGAGACTCTTCCTTTCACCATCACAGCCGCTTCATCTGTCTCTGGCCGTGCTCCTTGCAGGACAACAGAACCGCAGATCGGGACTCCGCACTTGGTTTGCACTGAAAGTGCACCTCAGTTGCACACACTCATGAGTCTCCACCGACCCCCAAGACAAGAATTAAATTCCCTTACCTTGGCCATGCACAAAGTTATCAGGTCGCAAAGGCCAATGCCCGTGCCTACCTGCCTCTTGGCTTTGTCAGAGCCTGTCCTTTATGTAACAGCCTCAGTTTCTTATCGGCTGTCCCAAGGTGTCACCCCACCACCCAGACTGGACTGCTAAAATCAGCAGGGTGCACCTATCCTGTTCAGGACAGTGGGGGAGACCCCCGGGAGGTGATAATTATCCCAGATGACCCCCCAAATTGTTGGAAATATCCAAATAATTTATCAGGATGGTATCTCTGATAAAGCAGCTTTTATTCACAATTGCAATGGAGGGCCTCCTGCAAGCAGGAGAGCACACAGAAAACAGTGTTGTATCTTTTATGCCTTATTGCCCGACGCTTATCTCTTTCTCCCCTAGTTCCTCACTGGCTGAGTACTTTATGTTCACAATCTTCTCGACGCTTCACTAAACATACAAACAGTGGACAAACATAAATCTTCGCTGGCTAAGCATAAACTTCTAATTAATTAACTAATTAACTTCTGACCCTTTGGTCATTATGTTTGGTCATTGTTTCTGGATATCTGCTCATCCACCCTTGCATAGAGATAAGCTCAGAAGGAGGACAGAGGGGAGTATCTTGATGCCTGCCTGTCACATCCTAAGCTTCTCACGGAGTGAGACAGTCCAGCCTAGTGTAGATGTTTGTTAAATCTATTTTTCTTTTGCTGGGAGTTTCTTATCCTAACAGAACAACCCTACAGTATGTTTTCTAATCCCTAACACTATACCACATTGTTTGGAACATTTAACAACTTCTTGCAGTTTTGCAAGAAATAATTAATCACATAATTCAGTAATTAGGTCTCCAAAAGATGCTGCTAACGTATACAGTATTTCTACTTTTTAGATCTAAGGATAAGTTACAGAATACAAATACATTATGTTCTACTTCTTCAAACCAATTGCCCTTTTTAATATCTAATGCAGAAACAACATCCCATTCCCACACGTTAACAACGTTATCCCAGATTGTTAACATTACCAAAGCCAGCTCAAAAAACGTAGTGGCTTCTTCTGAAGAGAAGTTACCAATAAATTAGTACTAAATAATTTATTTTATATTATACTATATTTACATTTTATTTTATATTATAGATTAGACTAATTTCTATGTTAGTTTATAAGGGGAACCAAGAGGAAACACACGTTAAAAACAAGTAACTAACAAGTCACTGATGACAATGTACAATCACTTTCAATAACCCTGGTATTTTACAACCAACTGTCTAAGTACTGTAATTTCAAACCAGAGCATTTTCTTACCACTTGCATCAAAAGATCTATTTGTTTTCAGATTAGAGAAAAACCTCACAAATGAAAGCAAGAGTAAAAACTGTATATATGACTTATTTTACAAATGCTGTTCAGGTGCTTATTGGGCTCTGGACGCAAACTACCAGAGTTATATGCATAAAAATATAGAAGAATCTTTGCTAAGGAGGTATACATTTGTTTACATCAGGTTTCTTGGGATACAGCCCTCTATCTGTATTTCAGCTGGCCAGCCACCGTATCTATTCTTCTTACTGTCAGAGTGGTTTATCTGTTAAAAATAAAACAAAATAAAATGAATCAGTATTTGTGTTTACCAAATTAGTTTGTCAAACCTTATACAACATAAAAGAGAAACGGAAGCTGAGGGGTATGTTAGACATCTTATTCAACATAATGGGTTAAGATTCCACCAATTTCTCTTACACTTTGCCTAAGAAATCCAAAGATTCAAAGGCTCAGATCTAAAGCAAAGAATAATGACACATTAGAGAATTTGCTTTGAACAACTATGGCTGATCCTGAAGTTACTACAGATACCCCACAAGATCTGCACCTAAAGTTTACATCCGAGACAGAAACAAATAAAATTGAAAATAAAATGAACCTGACCTTTTCTCTTTCGATATCATCTGGAAGCCTGAAGCCTTTGGCAGCTATAAAAGCCCAGCTTGACCTGAACTTCATATTTTGTATTTCTTTACTTCCCAGAGCTTCTACTAACTTTTTGGCATTACTTTTCAACCTAAAAAAAAAAAAAAAAAAAAAGTATTAATAATATTAAAAAAAAAGCTGAAAAAGAACACTTTGGCTTTATAGTGAGAAGTGGCTGGTGGAACTGGGATTGTTTACCACATTGCTCTCTACAAGTAACTGAAAGGAGATTGCTGTGAGGTGGATGCTGGTCTTTCCCCTCAGTTCACGAGCAATAGGACACGAGGAAATGGCCTCAAAGTTTTTATCAGAGGATACTTGGGTTGTACATCAGGAAGAAATTTTTCACAGAGAGGGTGGTCAAGCAATTTTTCACAGAGAGGGCAGAGGAGGCTGACTAGGGAAGTGGTGCAGTCCCTATCTCTGGAGGCATTTAAGGGATATGTGGATGTGGCACAAAGGGACACAGTTTAATGATAAGACTCACGAGGTCAGGTTGATGGTTGGACTTAATGATCTTAAGGGTCTTTTCCAATCTAGATGAGTCTATAATTCTATGGTTTACGTTAGTAGGTTGGCACAAGAAACAATCAGAAGTTAAAAACTTCCTGAGTGCTGTCTTATTAGCATGCCATTAAACCTACAGACCAAAATTACATCTTTGAATTCCTCTTCTCTACATCCCTGATGTCAATACCATCTGTTTGTAACAATGCAGCAGAAAGAAATACATCTCAAACACTGAATTTGTAAAATTTGACTTTTTATTCCTTTTTAAATGTGGATAAAAGCTTCAAATGTTTATCAGCCAAATGATTAAGACTGTCCCTGTTTAATTATGATATCATGACTTTAATCATAAGATTTGAAAGGACTTGAAGAATCAGGTTAAGATGTAAGAAGGAATGCAAGCTAGGTATGTTCTAATTAGAGCTGTGGATACCTTTTTAATAAAAGGTTGTGATGCAGAGATAATAACACTGCCCTTTATGATGATAACTGGTGCTTTTAAACAAGCATGATGCTCTCCTTCCATCTTTGGAAGCATCAACACATATGATGTGAGCAAGCATTGAATGTATATATAATCCAAACTTTTAAGAAAGGAAATGACTACACAATGAAATGAATCACTCCTTTAAACCACTGTACAACAGTGACTGCCAGGCTATTTGTTGCTGTGTTTCTCAGCCTGTCATGAATAGTTTCCTTACCGGGCGCTTCCATCATCATGAGTAACCATGAAAAGCAGGGACCCTTGTGGTGCACTTTCAATGAAAGCCACCATCTCTTCTGAGTGGTCTGTTGAATTAATTACACAACTGGTTACTCCCTCACACACACGATCACATTCCACCTACTTTCCCTTGCATTCAACTTCTCCTCACTTTTTGACCTTGCCTACTCAAAATGAGACCTATTTAGGCAATCTTTCCATGCACTGGCACAGGACTTGCCTAATCCTTGAAGATGCAGAAAGCTGCCAGCTCTCACTGAAGACCAGAGGAGCAAAGGTTGATCTATAATTCCCAGCTGTAAAGAAAGATACTTCTGAACCTCTGAAAACAGATAACATTTACACACAAGTTGAGATTTTACCCTGCATAACACACCACCAGCAAGCAAAACATGGAATAGTTCAGAAATCACTGATACTCTGTGCCTTTATTTTTGTGTGCTGACTACCATGCCAACCGTAGATCTAAGTAACACACCCCACTGTACATCCATTTGCATTAAATGGCAGTTTATTTGCAGCACTAAGATATTTATTCATAAGGCATACGTTATTTTCTATAGAAAGTAAGTGTATTGTATGGCAGTAGCCTTGGAGACATTGCAGTCCATACACCATATAAAAATCTGAAGCCCCATGATTAGACCCAGTGTGATTTCTGTTCATGCATGCAAGGTCATAAACATTCTTAAGTGGTGAAAGAATTGGCTGCAAGTGCCTCATAGCATTCTGTTTCTTCTTAGTAGGAAGTACGGTAAGGTATCATCCTAAGTCTGGAAAATGTATTAGAAGCTATTCTTAAAGTAGATCTTCTGTTTAGCTACATAGTAGTGTAGAAAGACTAGCTTATTATGATTTTGCAATTAGAAAAGAATAGAACAAAATGTATCAGAAAAAAGATTTTGCTAAATAGATGCAGTATCTGGTTAAGTGCTGTCCTTTGCCAGACTGAAATAATGGAGAAAAAAAATAGCAACTAATCACAACAAACATTAACTAACACAACCAACAGAAAAAAAAGCCCCACATCTTTTCAGGAAAAGTTGTTGTCAGAAGATCTGGCTATGTTTAAATGACTACATCTGCTGTTTGTTTCTAAGTGATCTTCTTCAATGAAGAAGCACAGTCACTTAAAGACTAGGACAAATATTTTAATATGTTTTTATTGAACACTGAGATGTTAACAAAAGCTTTGTTGCACCCTTTTCCCTACCTCCTTCCCACATGTCAAAGAAATTGGCTGATGTTAGTGCTCCTGTTTCATCTGTAAGAAAAGATTAAGAGTGCAAATATGAGCAAAAACGGTTACATTTATCAGCATGCACAGCATTTTCAGCAAAAGGAAGGCATCTCTAAGTTTTGGTATTATTGTGCTTCCAATTTTTCGTTTGCATTTTGAAATTGGAAGAAATATAGAATAATGTAAATTTGAGATTCGGGGAAAACATTTTGTGTAGTCACTGCTTGTAGCTGCAGTCAGCTGAAAAAATTGTTCTCAAATCACTTCTGTTACAACACAGACCTGCATACTGTCAGAGAGAAATCACACTGGAAATAAACAAATTCTTCTTTAAACAAAAGCCTGAATCTGAACATCGCTGCTGACAAAACCATCATTATTTTTGTTTTAAGGAAGAAATTCCATTTACTGTACACATCCAAGTGCACATACGTACATATACTACATTAGGTGGCAACCATACACATAGAAGTTGATTAAGCCTGATTCTATTTGAATGGCTCCATTCTGTGCAGTGTTTCAGATTCTTGTCTACATTAATTGAGCCCAGCAACTCAAATAAAATCATGAAGGTTTAGACAAGGCTAAAACCTTGTTTAACAATAATGAGACAAGGAAACTGGAACAAAAACGTTCTGTGATCAAAACCAACTCGTCAGTGCATCCCTTGCTTCCACTCCCCCACGATATTTAGCAATCATTTTTCTAAGGATCCATCGTTGAATGCATTGCATTTCACCACCATACCTATTCATCTAAGTTAAAATGGTGCATGAGACCTGGAACAAACTACTGCATCAGCTTTCCAACAGCTTCTATTACAAGCACTTTAATATTAATCAAGCTTTGAGTTTGTCTTTCTGTCCACTGACCAATTCTAGAAAAGGAAATTGTACCTCACGTAGAACTGCAATTCTCAGTTACTGTATATCTTTTTATTTGCTTATACTGATTATGTACATGTTTCTTTCATTTATCCAGAAGACTATTTCTCTCAAGCAGTAATTTGTCCTTCTTACATTTAAGATGAATCAAGTTGCAATTTCTCCTTTGCTTCCATACCAGCTACTAAAAACACCCCAAACGTTTGTTTTTTTAATCATCACAAAGGTATGTCTCTAACATTTTTAATCTTACTTACAATTGACAATGGCTATGTTTATACCTCTTCCAACATTACCCTTTTCTTCACTTATAAGCCTGGAATTGAAAAGAAGTGCTGTATCAGTAGATTTCATCCTTCCAGAGACTCCGATTCAGATTTACCAATGCTAAGCCATTTCCTGGTGTTCAAACTTTTTCAGTTATCTAATTCAAGAGCCTAGTAGTAAGCAAGAGCTTTGGCTTTAAAGTCTTGCATGTTGTACCAGTCCATTTCCTTCAAAGATACTTAATGAGTTCTGCAAAATGAACCAGATCAAGAAAGTGCTTTGTACAAATCCATCCAGAAAGATAAAAAAGAAAAACATAACAAATGTGTGGGTTCGTTTTTATGATAGTAAGCCATGTGGCTGTATCTACTTGAAAGATCACTTTAAGGATTTAAAGTCACTTTACTTGTCTGGTCTGAAAAAGGAGGAACAAACCTGACTTTCAGAAGGTGCTGACCACTCAATATATGTCCTGAGTGACTAAAACTAAAAATCATAATTGAAGCCAACAGCTGAAAACAGCTTATCTACAGGAATGAAGACAATAACCTGAGATGTATGTATTAAAAAAAAAAAAAAAAAAGTTAAATATTATCAGATATATGCTGATGTTTACCACCAATAAAACATCAACAATTTATAAGTCTTTTGATCTAGGTTTAAATGACTCAGACGACATGCTTCTCAAAACCTTATATTACATCTACCTATCAATAAAAAAGTTGAGTCAGCCCAGGATATGAGAGAAAGCCAATCAAACAGACCAGATACTGAGCAAAGGCAAGTATACTACATAGAAACTACAGTGTCTGTGAAAGGAAAATACAACCTTCAGCAAAAACAGTACAGACCCACACGGCAGCAATGTGCTATCCCAAAGGCAGAACACACAAGAAGAGGAGAAAAATTTAAAACAACTTTAAAAAACACATTTATAAGCATATATTCAAAGTCACTATCTCCACGTTATCTTTAGCTCTTCAGTGCTGTTAAGTCTCTACTTTAGGCCAGAGTTCCATGGAAATGAATTGTCTTGGTTTGAATCATCACCATAAAGCTCACCAGAATGAAGCAGAGAAGAATCTGTATTTAAGATGGAATTCAAATCATGCTGCAGAAGGAGCGCCATAAAAAGGAAAACAGGAACAGGAGGAAAAACTCATTTGTTCCTAAGAGACCTAGGGCATACTTATTAACTGAAAAGGGAATATACAGTGACCTTTTTCTGCATGTAATTTTACTGAAGAGGTCTTTTCTTTCCCTAGGAGCTAACTTGCTAGTGAACCAAAATGAAAGATCCTTCTTTATACTACAAAGTATTGACATATATTAAAAGTCAGTCTGGTACTTACAGCTCATCTTCAAAACAGATTTTAGCCAGCTTTTCTTTGCCACCACCACTAAGAATCCGATAGGCATAGCTCCCTGGTGAGCAGGGAGACCAGTGATCACACTTCTGCCTTCTGGGGAGTGGGGCTACAACAGCAAAGATGAGGAAGTCTTCCTGAGTGCTACATAAACAATTTCTACATGGAAAGAATCACTTAGAGTCAACACGTTAATATATAAGCTCATACTTATATACACAGAGGCCAATACTGTCAGCTTGCCAGTATTGTGGCAACATTCTCACAGATTTGCTTGGGTTTTGGGTTATTGTTGGCTTTCAAACCACTGCTGGGAAGAAGAGCTAACTTGCCTAGAGAAAATAATTCCATATACTCTCGATTCAAATCAGATCATACTATTTTGTACTATTTCCATTGAAAGTAAACAAGGGCTATATGGATAAAGAATTCCTGCAGATAGCTTGAAGCTGACTGTTACAATTCTAAACTTTTTTCACACAATAGCAGTCATAGAATGAAAAAAACATTAAGTCCATCAGATCAGAAGAAAAAAAAGAGAACCACATCACAAACTTTGGCTAGCGATTCCACCAGTTACGGAAACTCTAAAAAACACCTAAGATATAGTCAAAGCTTCAGCAGCAGCTTTGCAGATTGCTTATGCTTACATGCCAACAAACAAATAAGGTGTTATTAGATTACTAGTCAATTATTAATATTTGCATACCGGCAAATATAAGATGACATTATGTTTCTTCAAAATAGTGCATAAGAAGTAGTCCAGATTTACACTAATTAAATGAATTCACTTTATCCATAGAATCAAAGAATCACCAAGGTTGGAAAAGACCTTCAAGATCATCCAGTCCAACCGTTCACCTATTCCCAATAGCTCCCACTAAACCATGTCCCTCAACACAACATCCAGCCTTTCCTTGAACACCCCCAGGGTCGGTGATTCCACCACCTCCCTGGGCAGTCCATTCCAGTGCCTGACCACCCTTTCTGAAAAGTAATACTTCCTCATGTCCAGCCTGAATCTCCCCTGTCGTAGCTTGAAACCATTCCCTCTGGTCCTAACAACATCCAAACAACATCATTCTTATAATAGCTTGTTAGGTAACAAGAGGACAAAAGGTAATGGCCTTAAGTTACACCATGGCATGTTTAGGTCAGATATTTGGAAATATTTGTTCTCAGCAAGAGCAGTGATGCAGTGGCACAGACTGCCCTGGGAGGTGGTGCAGTCACCGTCCCTGGAGGTGTTCAAGAGCCGTGTGGATGTGGCACTGAGGGACATGGGCATGGTGAAGGTGGGCTGGTGGTTGGACTGGGTGATCTTAGTGATTTTATGATTGTAAGCCCTTTTTAATTTAACAAGTAAATAGAGAACATTAGATAAAAGGAAAAAAAAATACAACTACATACCCCTCAACACTGGTTTCTTTCCAATGTCTTGAAGATAAGCTATAGATGTCGACAGTGTCTCTTGTGATAAATGAGCAGCAAATAAGTATCCCAAGTACCAAGCAAACGATGATGCCAACAAGAGCCCTGATAACTTCACAAAATCTGCCAAGAAGAAAAACACAGACATAAAGATGTACCCATAGCAACACACACACACAAAAAGTATTTTCTCTGGCACTGCTACAAAAACGGCTATTTTTTTCTACCACTGTGTTAACCTTGCCTTTGGTGATATGGTGACAGAGCACTGGTTGCACACTCATCTCTCAGAATTCCTTCCATCTTGAAAACTTCATCTTTGAGAAGAAAACCCACCCCCAGCTCTGCACCAGATCCCCTCAACCCATAGTTATGATACTGCAAGGAGACATGAAATTCAATTCAAAAATTAGTACCAGATATCATACACGACTATGTAGGTTGTATACAATTACTGCTGTTTTTGTGTGATGTGCAGACACTAAAATAATGGTTTAAACCACAGGTGTGCAACCTTTTTGGACTACTTGATCACACTAAGTGAAGAGGAATTGTCTTGGGCCACATATAAAATACATAATATATATAAGTAATAAAGCTAATTTTTTTTTAATATATAGTTTTTAATGAAACAAACAAACAAACAAAAAGCAACAAAAACATAAAACTAGTAGGATATGTGACCTTTAGTGAAAATAACACATCAGTCTGGTTCTTGGCAGTCTTAAAATCTGTTCTCAAATTTATTGAAATGGACAGCAAAGCTGTGTATTTTTCGCTTTTCACAGGACTGTGTTTAGCCAACGTATCAAAATGCATATGACTATTTCCCATAATCTGTTAGCACAGACTGCACCCTCCCCATGCCCTGGTTTTGGCCCCAGCAGTGTGGATCACACATTGCTGTGAGGCTGTTTTGAGTGATGGATGTGTGTCTGGGGCCAGGCTGGGCCTCTCAGTGGGGCAAAGCCACCACCATGTCAGCATGGGGCAAGTGGCCAGCTGCAGCGCAGGCTGGGCTATGCTGTTGCAGCACAATCATCCATATTCACCATGCTTTCCCCTCACACTGACTGGCACAGCCAAGGAGGGCTCTAAAACTCCCCTTTGCAGGCTCAGCTGTGCAGAGACCAAGTGACAGACATCACTGATGGGTCTTGGTGATCCCTGAGCTGGGCTAGTGAACCTGCCAATCCCAGGTGGCAGGGTCCATCAGGATGAGCACACTGAAGACGCATTCTTTATTCAGAAGGGATACATTACCTGAGTTATGATGTTAAACAGTGAAATATCACAGTGGAATTGGGAAACCCTGGCTTTTACAACCGTTAAGACTTCTGTCCTTTCTCTGCTTATCCCCTCTGTAGATTAAGGTCATATTCTTCACTTGTTCTCCTCAAGTGTTGCTTTACAAGTCTTACCTCTTTCACACTGACTGCCTGACTTGTCCACATCTGTTAGTGCAGGATGGACATGATAGTACAATGTGCCCATTCTGGAGGCTCTGCTTATGTTTATTCACGCCAAAAGGAAGTTTTAACATTTATCTTGAGAGTAGAATTTACTGCCTCAATTCAGTTTATAATACTACACAAAGAGATCTTCTCTCTTGCAAAGCTTTGACTTCTCTAGCCTCTATATCAACTACTGCGTAAGACTGTTCCTTGTATTGTACCTAAAAAAACTCCACCAAAACACACACACAAAAATAACAAAACTCAACAGAAAACAGTTGTAACACTAACTCTAAATATTACTAAGAAGAATCACAAACACACCCTATTCTCCATAACAGCAACAGAACTAGGAAATCCTCTGAATCACAGGTGTCAGCTTAACATCTGAGCAACAGTTGTACTTCAACCCTTGAATCTCAGTGAGGGGCAATGCAGATCATTATGAACATTTAAAGTTTTTCTATACAGTTTCTCATCTTTTTTATAAATAAAAACAAACAATAAGGACAGTACATCATCTTTTCAAGATGGTCTAAGCTCTTAAGATGTTCTGTGCCACTGTATTTAAGAGTTAAAGGATTATGACAGAGAAAGTTATATAATGGGAATCTTCAGAGAGAGAACACATTTTGCCATTTGCAACATTTGCAATCTTAGGCTAAGGGAATTCACAGAATCACAGAATGGTTTGGGCTGGCAGGGAGCTCAAAGCCCACCCGCCCCAACTCCTGCCATGGGCAGGGCTGCCTCCCACCAGCTCAGGCTGCCCTGGCTTTGAGTGATGGAAAGATGGAGTCCAGAAAACTGTTGTAGAACATTGCCAGTGAACTTCTGGCTTTGACTCTGGGGATTCAGAAGCCAGTGGGGGACTGCACTGAAGGCATCAGCGGAGTCCACTGGGTCTTCACTTACTGAAGACACATATACCACACATATTATAAATTCCCCACACAGAAATGCATAAAAACCCATATGCAGCTAAACCATACACTCAAACTGAAGAGAACTTATGACTTGCTACAAGCAGCACTCATAAAATGAGAAGCTGGGTCTACATTCACAGAAGCAAGGCTGCGCTCATGCTGAGCTGAAAGGTTGTGGTTCAGCATGGCTGCGGCACTCAGAGCTGTGAGGGAACCGCATGCCACGGAGAGGTGCTTGGCCTGTGACAGGCAGATACTGAGCTGAAGGGGCAGAGAGGCATAGGAGAATGAAAACACGTGGAAAGATGAAGTGGTGGTGGGCAAGGGCACGTCGGGAAGACCTCGGAAAACACGTGTCCCATTTTCCAACAGCTCTGGTTCCTTTCTGCTCAGGTGCTCACTTGTACCTTGGCAGCGGCTTAAGCACAGCACACCTCTGTTTGTGCTTAGCTGACTTGAAACACTCGCGCTGCCACGCCTCGCCAGCACATACCCGCTGCTCCAAGGCCGGCATTCAAGGGGAGAAAAAAAAAGACACCTTGAGATTAAATTCTGATGATCGAAAGAAAAAAAAAAACAAAACAAAACTAATCCGGCGTGGATTCGCAGTATGATGCTTCCCAGAGGCTCGTACCGCAGGCGGCTGACAGCCAGGGAAAGCTGCGCTCTGGGAGAACCAGACAGAGGAACGCTGAGGGACTGCTACTCACAGTGCCGCCTCTGCCACATCGCTGGGACGGTGATGGGCCCCCCACCCCCTGCCCGCCGCCGTCCCCCGCTGCTGCTGCTGCTGCTGCTGCTCCTCCTCCTCCTTCTCTTCCTCCTCCCCTCTCCTCCGTTCTTCTCTGTCCGCAGGCACAACTGACCCCCGCCTCGCCGGGCCGTCAGCAGAGTGGCGGAACGGACAGGGGAGCGGCCAGCTGTCCGCGATGCCCCGCCTTGGCACGGCCCCGCGCCGCACCCTGCTGCTTCGGGCTATTCGTTCACTCATGGGGAAAAGTGTAGGTGGTTTTCCTGGGCTGAAGAGCTGACCTTAAGCTAAGCCTTGGCCCGGCCATCAGGCGTTCCCGTGGATGGTGATAGTTGCCGCCGCCATTTTCTGAGGGGGCTGTGGGGTCCTGCTGGCAATGGGGCTCGGTCCTGGCGATATGGAAGCCTCTCCTCATGTCTCCTTGGCAGCGGCAGTGGACGGCCCGGTGCTCTGAGGGCTACGTCTGCTCTTGAGGGCAGGAGAGGACTGTGAAACAAACTTCCTTTTGAGCTTGTAAAATACAGCTGTACCTCTAATCTAGAAAAGCCTCCAACAGCTCGACTATTCAGTCTGGGCAAGAGGAGGCTGAGGTGAACCTCATCACTCCCCACAACCACCTGAAAGGAGGCTGTGATGAGGTGGGGTTGGCCTGCCAGGTAGCAGGAACAGGACAAGAGGGAGTGGCCTCAGGTTTTGCTGGGGAGATTCAGGTTGATATTAGGAAATATTTGTTCTCAGGAATAGCAGTGATGCAGTGGCACACCCTGGGAGGTGGTGCAGTCACCGTCCCTGGAAGTGTTCAGGAGCCGTGTGGATGTGGCACTGAGGGACGTGGGCAGTGGGCATGGTGGGGGTGGGTCAGTGGTTGATCTAGGTGATCTTAGAGGTCTTTTCCAACCTCTATGATTCTGTGGTTCTCTAATTCAGTCATACTGCATTAGACAGGGGTGCTAGAAGTTATTATCTGGAGAAAGAAAATAACCTGCTTACAGGATTGAAGGCAAGGCTTGTGCCATACAGAAGTCCATCTGAGAAACAATTTCGCCCCAAATCTCAAAACCTTTTTCTTTTCTTGGTTGAACCCAACTCAGAAAACAATATACAAGTAAGGGGTTTTACCTGGTGATAGTGTTATTCAAGAAGCAGATGCATAACAACAAGTCAGTAATCACACACTCAGGAGAGACACTGCTTATTTAGTTCAGATTTGTGCTGATTTGGGTGCTGAGTAGTTCCCTACAAATCAAACAGGACTATCCATGCTGTATTTATACACGCAGCTTGAAAAGTCACTAGTTTTTCCATCTTCTTTACGATGACTGGTCAGTAAGTTACATACAGTTATAATATCGCTAACAATCCTTTTGCAACTATGCATGTCAAGGGGCAAATAACAAAATAAAAGGGTCTGTGGGAGTGATTGTAATGATGGTACTTCAATTACAAGTCTCTTAGTTTTCCAGTTTTCTTGCTGAATTGGCAATGCTCCTAAAACATCCTGAGTAATGTCTTCCTCAAGGCCTACTTGCTCCAGGATGTCCTTGGTTGAAGGATGTTAATCTGTTTAGGGATGTTTAATTGCCCTTTGCTTGTCAGTTTAACATATACAAAGAACATCTTCAGCTAGCTAAGTTTTCAGAGCCTGTCTTCAACAGTGGCGTGGCTCTACATGGTTTGTTAGCTGATGGGACCTGTGCGTTAGCCAAAACCATGAGTAGGACCTCACTGAGGCCTCCTTGCCCCTCCAGTGTAGCACCAGATGGCCCTACCATGGGCACCAGGCCACCAGAGTGAGCTCTTGGTTCACCTTTTCCTGCTGTGAGCTGTGCTGGTGCTGAAGGCAAGGCATCGCACACCATTGCCTGGATATTCCCTTCCTGATGGGTAACTTGGTCAGTGCATGGCTCTCATCACCTTGAAAAAATGGACACCTCTTCTACTTCCAGTGTAGGGCAACAGCAGGAGTGTGGAACCATAGCACAGTGCTGGTGATGCTTGCTTTCTAGTTAAGAGCATTGCCCAGCTGGAGCCGCACATCACGGGCTTGCTGGGTTTTTAATATTCCGTTTTCCAGTAGGCTTTGTTAATGGGTGTTTGCAGGTCTGGGTGGGCAGGGAACCTCATCAGCACCTGTCAGTTCTGATTTTGGCCTTTCTGCTAGGACATCTGTGAAAACAATGGTTCCAGTCACCAGAGAAGGGGCATTTTTTGTCTTCATCTGCAAGTCCTATAAAGGTAAAATCTGAAGGAGTAGTTGCTGCTTGTTGTTAGCAAATGAAAAGCAACATTAAAACCTAGGTGTGTAAATAATTTAAGTGGTAGCGTGGAACAAATAAATTTAAGAAATGGAAAGCATAGAGCAAAAAGGAGAAGGAGCTATGAGTGGGCAAGAAGGAGTTAGAGACAACACTGTTCTGAATTAGTTTTCCAAATATATAATATACAGTTATTTCTGTAGGAAGTGTTACTCTAAGATGGCCCATGAGACAATCACATCTGTTAATAAATGACAAAAACTATTACAGGGGATATTTCTTGTTTTTAAAATAAAAATAAGGAAGCCTTAAGCCCCAAATGCTGCAGTTAATGGTGGCATCAAAATGAAAAATTCTGCAGATTTTATTAAAACAGTGAAAATTCGCTAGGACTTGGGATAATTTAACTTTGCAATACATTTATTGTATGACCAGCACTTGGTCGCGAATTTCACTGATAAAAATTTCAAGCCTTGAGGCGCTTTGTCACCACTGTGACAAAACATCATTAGCAGTTGGTGTAAATTGGGTGACAGCCAGTTTACCTGCTTTTAACCAGAAAAAAAATGTGTCAGTTTATTGCTTTTTCATTACTGCCTAAACTACACCAAACTATACCCGGGTGTTTGCTACAAAACAGGGCAACACTTTCATTGTTCTGGTTGCCAAAGCCTAGGGATCCAGCGGTCTCTGTCTGAGGGGAGAATTTTAAATGCCAGACAGCTGGGAAGCTTAAAGAAGTTTTACTTCAGGTGTTTCAATATTGTGTCTGTGAAAGCAATGTGATACTTTTCTCTCTAATGTAAGTATTCGAAGATAAGGAATGCAGAACACTTCAGAAATATAATTATTGGTATTCACTCTTCTGCCACTCATCCTGTAATTTGAAAGCTTAGAAAAAAAAATTCAAAACATGAATCTTTGCTTTAGATGTTTGTGAGGAAGTGAGACCCTTTGATGATAAGCAGCAGCGCAGGAAATCTATTCATGAAACAAACCACTCCAGCAGACAGTAAATGAAACAGATGTGTGTATGGGCAGAATGCCTATGCATGAGGCCACAGTTAGTGGAGAATGTTTATAGGCATTTGCTAACGGTGTGAAATGACAACAGAACAAGTTCCTGCCTGCTCTTTGAGTGGTGGTACCTCCAGAGTTGCTTTCTGCACCAATCTCACTTGGCCAATCTGCTGTATGTGTCATCCCTGTTCTCACAGCTATTTAATTTCAAAGTTCTCTGCTCATCCACAAATGGCCAGTGGTGTATTTTTAATCCTCCTAGGATGAGGTAAAAAATGCAAAGCAGAAGAGCAGTTCTTTAAGCTGCCATAACTCAGCTGTATTTCACCGTGTGTCTGTGCCCATAATTCAGATGGAATCTCAGTATCTGAAATTGTGGTAACATGAAGAGCAAAGTGGAGAAACAGCAACTTTGGTATGTATTTTAATATAAGAATGTTTATTTCTAGTAGACCTGGAAGGTCTGCAGGAAATGGAAGCTTTTAGATATTGTGTGGATATACTGCAATGTAAACACTCCCAGAAATGCAAAGCCAGTTCCAGTAACAGATGGCAAAAAGTGAGCAATGAGCAATTCCAGTTTATAAGCTACAAAACCTGTACAACTAGTAAATCTAGTTCCAGAATGTTGCTGATCTATTTAAAAGTTTGCTTTATACCTTATGTTGTTTAAGGTGGGGCATTTTTTCTCTGTTTTCCCATACCTTGTTAATCCAGAGATGCACAAGGAAAATAGACTCAAAACTCTTCATCTAAGTAGATGGGAATCCAAAGTAGATCCAAGTAGATGTGCTCTTCAATCCAAGTAGATGGAAAAGCCTCAATACTTTGTGGGCCCAAATCTAGTTATCTTTAATAGTCACCTAGATTCCATGTTACAGGAGAGGAAGGAGAAGGACAAAATTAGAGGAAAAGGAAAATCCCTCCCTTGAAGATGGATGTTTTGATATGGCTTTGCACAGGGTCTCTGTGATCTGTTCTCTGGAAATGCTGGTGTCAGTGCAGTCATGAGGCCTACAGGTCCCTTTTGTGCAGTCCCATGCAAGTAAACAAGTGTGTAAGCCCGCTCAGTCCAGCAGATACTTACCATAGGCAGCTGGTCCCTGCTATCAGCAATCCCAAGGCACTTGTGGCTTGAAGACATCCTGTGGCTCGTCTTGGAGTATGTTCTCAATCCACTCTCTCTGCATAGTTCAGCAGGGATCCAGGCTGACCTGCTGTGCCAGGCTTTGGTCACCTGAAGGCAAGGCTGGAGGTCTGCAGGAGCAAAAATTCTACAGTAAAGCCAAGTCCTCACACACACAGAGGGAGAGCTGGATTTCTTTCAGACCTGTCTTGTGGAAAGGAGGAAGAGAGGAAAGGGATATCACCTTACCTTTGGGACAGGATGGCAACAGATGTGGGTGGTCACAGAAGGGTTGATGCTGCAGGACAGAGTGGGAAATTGGTGAGTACAAAATAGAAGGGCATACATGAGCAAACTGAAGGCTGTAAAAATATATCAGCACTTAAAAATCACAGAATCACAGAATGGCCTGGGTTGGAAGGGACCTCAAGGATCGTGAATCTCCAACCCCCCTGCCACAGGCAGAGCCACCAACCTCCCCATTTAATACCAGACCAGGCTGCCCAGGGCCCCATCCAGCCTGGCCTTGAACACCTCCAGGGATGGGGCATGCACAGCCTCTCTGGGCAGCCTGTGC